CACCAGATCCTGAGAGGTGCAGTCATTTTCATGTTGATTCCTCCAGCATGGGCGGAGCAAAGGCACCCATGCAGTGGTGCACGGGGCTGTTAGCCTGACTGTGCAGTGGGAGCCCCTTCGTGTTGGCGCCTTCGCGCACCCCACGCATGTCTCCTTGAAGGGCTGTTAGTAACTGCAGCTTCCGCAGTGCGAGACACAGGTAGCCAGTTCTGTTCCTGATTAACTGTACCTGACGGTGTTCTGGCCCCAAGGAGGCTGCTTCAGTGTAAGTCACTTTGTAAAACAGAAGCTCTTTCTTCAGATGTGTTGTGGTAGAGTTGTTTTAAGGGTTTAAAAAGTTTTGGATCCAAAGTAGGGGAAAACTGGTGTAGTTGCCTTAGAAGCTGAAGTTTCTTCCTAGAGAGCCTTATTTTCCTATAATTCATCACAGTCTTGATTTTGTAAGTAGTGTGTTTAGTCACAGCCATCCCTATGGTTTGGGGTTTCAGGAGCTTTTTGCCTCCCATAGTAGCTTAGCATGGCCAGGCAGTGGCCCAACTTCCGGTGGGAGCCCTGCGGGGTAGCACGTAACTGACCATCTTAGCCTGAAGGAAGGCACATTCCTGGTTCTCTGGCCAGTTAACACCGGCCTGGAGATTTTACCAGGTGTATTTAGATAGGATTAGAAAAATCACTCAAGTTCTGTCAAACTGTCCTTTCATGACCTTCAGCTTTCACTCTCCAAAGTCATGGAAAATCTTAGAAATTTAGATTGGTTCGTAGGTCAATAATATGAGTCAGGGGCTGGGGATTTAGCTCAGCGGCATAAGTGCCTGCCTTGCAAGCAGGCAGTCGTGAGTTCGATCCCTGGTACCGATAAAAATGAAAAAGACAAAAAAAAAAAAAAAAAAAAAATATGAGTCAATGTTTAATGGTGATTGTCCTGGGATTGAGGGAGGGGAGGGATTACTCAAAATCTCACAGAAATCATATCATCACTAATTTTTGTTATCCATTAAGGTGTGGAGGGACATGCCAGTACTGATGTTTTACTTGGTGTTGGTTTATTTACATTCCCTGCTTCACCAAAACTTAGGCTAGTCACTAGAATGAATCCTGACCGCTGAGGAGCAGTGTAGAATGTTTCTGACCTCTGACCGTGCCATGGTTGGGCGTTTGAAACAGACGTGGACAGGTGAGCCACACTCGTCGGCCTTTGCCTCTGCCCCACCTTCAGGTTTTGGGTTTTCCAAGTGGAAGGCTGGTCAGTCAGCCTGTGTTTGTGGAAAGCTGCTGAGAGGGGGACTGTGAGGATGGTGGTAGCCCTGTTCCTGCTTGTGTCATCTTAGTAATGTAACTGGAAAAACGTGTTAGAGTGTTCTGACGATCCTAAGTCTCGGGGGATGTGTTCTCCCACTAATAAGCCTCTCACATGAGTCAGGTGAAGACTGAACACTGAAGCTAATCGGCCACTTCATACGGCGAGCGTGGCTTTAGAAGCCGAGCGTGGTTGGCATCAGTTTGCGAGGGAGAAAAGAAAAGAGATGTGCTCCAAAGCAAGCTTCCGTTTCCAGGTTTGCTTTTCTGGGACACAGTATCTTTGAAAAGAAAATGTTTAACATTTTCAAATCTTTGAATTTTGGTGAAGGGCCCGTCAACCAATTAGCACAAACTGTTTCATAAAATTATGATAGTAGGATTATGCTTTTGTATCCTTCTTAAATGTTAGTTTGTTCGCTCTTTTACTTAAATTATCACAAATAAATTCAGTAATGACTTCTAAACACTTTGGTGGTGAAACTATGAAGGGTCAAAGAAAAAGCTTTGAGTTACAGTTGAGAAACCTAATTTCAGTTTTGGTGTGTGGTTTTGGTTTGTTGTTGTTGTTTGTACCAGGAGTCAAACCCAGGACATCCTGGGTGTCAGGCAGATGCTGTGCCTCTGAGCTGCATGCCCAGCCCACGGTTTTGGTCCTTTAGGTGCTGTAGCGGTAGGACTTGGTGTTTAGTCATCCACCAACTCAGCCTGAGTCTTCATATGTAAGGTTAGGACCCTGGTACCCACCTCTGCAGGTAGGCACAGCAGCTCTAACTCTGTGGCTCGGTGGCTGAGCGTGCTGTGATCTGGCCTGCCTTTGGTCCTTCATCCTTGTACTTAGGACCTGGGTGGGTAGCTGATCTTCTTGGTCCTCCCCCCTGGACTCTGTGGTTCTGACCCTCAGTGTGGGTGTTCCAGCCCTTTGACCACATGCCCTTAGAAAAGCTTATTATCTGCCTCTAGATTTAAAACCAGTTGGAGCTTGTTAATTACATAAAATTATACACATACGTTGTTGGAGGTTAGCGACACAGTCAGAGACAGCCATCAGAAAATTCATATGGGACATTTGAAGTTCTATACAACGTTTTGTTCTTTTTTCTCTGTAGGTTTGAAATTGTAAAAGGAAAATTCATTTTTAAAATATTGTTTTTCGATGCTTTTATTTCATTTATTGATTTATTTGTTTATGGAGGGGTCTCTTTTGAGGCAGGGTTTCACTATATGGCTCAGGATTGTCTTGAACACAATTTGTAGCCCAGGCTGAGCTCAAACTGAGGCAGTCCTCCTGCCTCAGCCTCCCAAGTGCTGCGATTACAGGCGTATGCCGCCATATCCATCTCTTAGATGCTTTTAAAGATTGCTCATTCATTGTGGGTTTTGGTGTGAACTCACCTAGTGCGTAGAGCACAGGGCACTGGGAAGAATCAGGGAGATGTTCCACTCGCCACCTCCAAGGCTCGTGTTTTTGTGTTTTTATTCAATATCTCAAGTCACCTGAGTCCTCAGTAATGGAACTGCCTTGAACCATGCAGTGTGTGTACCAAGAACATACTTCATACCTGTATCACAAAATGTTTTGCTTTGTAAAGAAATACAATTTCTGAACAGTGGAGATGCCGTTGCTCTTTTTAAAAACCATAAGCGTGAAAGAAAAACAGGATATGCAGTGTCCTGGGCAGCAGTTTGTTCCATCAGAGCCTAAGCCTGTTGCCTGTTTGGCTTCTCTCAAATGTGTTTTGATGGTACGTAGTTGTAGAAATGCCAGCTTCTGACCTAATGTTCATTGCCCAGCCTGAACTGCCATCCCTTCTGGCTTGGGAACATGCACAGGAGAGGCTGAGTATGTTGGCTTATTTACTCATGTTGAAAATACTCCTGATTTTCTATGTTTTAAAAACATTCTGGCAGAACACATGTATTTGTATCTTTTACGTAAATATAGTTGACTATTGCCAATTTTTAAAAAAAAAAATGTTAACTTGTAGGACTTTTCATGTTTAATACCCAGCGTCAGGCAATATCTTTCATCTGTAGCTTCCAAATGAAAGCTCATCTGGCCTGCAGATGCTGTTCCAGATGTGGAGAACACCATCCACTCCTCTTTTGTACTGCACATGAGGCATTTTACAGATTAGAATGAGCCTGTTGCAGGCCGCGAGCTGTCTTCACCCCGCCTCTGCACTTTTTAAGAGCATCATGAACACCCTGACTTCAGAGCATGACCAGAGTTGGAGTATGTTGTTGTCGAGCACGGTTATGGCAGGCCTAGCAGGGAGGGCGCTTGGGTGTTATTAAGGCCGTAATGAAGATGGGGACCTACAGCTGCTGCACGCAGATGAGGTTGTTTGTTCAGGGTCAGATGGTAGGTCATTGACAGAGGAGGGTTGCATCTGGGTTATCCTCATCGACTGGTGTATCCACTAATCTAGGAAGAAAATTCTTGCAAGATGAATACAGTTGTCATTATGGTTTTGAGAGTATCTGTGCCCTACTTCTTAAAAATCATTTATTTTTAGAATAGTTTTAGATAATACAGAAGAGTTACAGAACAGCGTGGTTTCCATAACTCGGCATCAAGTTTCCCCTGTCGTTAATGTATAGTATGTACGCGTGCACAGTGATGAGCCAATTATGGTACAGAGCCCAAGTCCCTGTGTTCGCCACGCTGTCCTCATTTAGTGCTCTGATATCTTTTAGCTGTCATGTCGTTGGGGATCTTCATGGCTGTGTCAGTTGTGAGGAAAACCAGGCAGGCATTTTGTGGATGTTGTTTAATTGGGATGTATGCGATGTTTTTCTTATGATTTGACCGGAATTACGCTCTGAGGAGGAAAACGACGGAAGGTGCCATTTCCCCACGGCGTGTCGGGAGCACATCCTGTCGGTGTGACTGGTGCCTGATCGCGGTCCCCTGGTGGAGACGGTGGCTGTCAGCAGGCGGTTACTCTTCTCCCACTTTCTGAACTGGAGTCTGGAAGGGAGTTACCCTGCGGCTCCCGCCCCGCGCTGAGGGGAGAGTATCTGTGTAAATCACTTGACTTCTCCTACACAGGAGACTTGCCTGCTTCTTCTGTGAGCCTAGAAAATCATGGCCTACCATTCTGATGTCTGCCAGATGTTATATAATGTGTGAAATGGGGTCATGATGGAGTCACAGAGAGGATAGAGAAAAGTTCTTTTATTTCTGTCTTCACAGAAGTGGTTAAGAGAAGATAGATGTTGGAGGAAGAGACCCAGGTGATGAATTACCCTCAGAGACTTGGGGACGTTTGTTGCAAAGCGCAGGGAGGGAGTGGTGGGTAGTACACTACACATATGAACTATCCTGTAGGCAACATAATTATAAAAAGGACATTGGGGCTGGGGATTTAGCTCAGTGGCATAAGCCCCTGATTTGCAAGCTGGCGGTCATGAGTTCAATCCCCGGTACCAGAAGAAAAAAAAAAAAAAGGACATTAAAGCTTAGGAATTTGGAAAAAAAAGTGTTACCCACCTTCTATGATCGTTGTATCTCCTGGGTACGAGACCACCTCCCCACGCCTAGACATGACACCTTCTATTATAACGTGTTGTCATTTTATTCTTGGTCAAGCAGGGGTGCTCGTAATGCCTACTTTTTAATCATTTTGGCCTTAGGAATTTAGAAGAGGGATTTGGACCGTTCTGGCTCACATGGTGAATTTTTCCTTCTCTTTCTGCAGAACTCTATCCGGCACAACCTGTCCTTGCACAGTCGGTTCATGAGGGTCCAGAACGAGGGCACCGGCAAGAGCTCCTGGTGGATCATCAATCCCGACGGGGGCAAGAGTGGCAAGGCCCCCCGGCGGCGGGCCGTCTCCATGGACAACAGCAACAAGTACACCAAGAGCCGAGGCCGAGCCGCCAAGAAGAAGGCAGCCTTGCAGACCGCGCCAGAGTCTGCAGATGACAGTCCTTCCCAGCTCGCTAAGTGGCCGGGCAGCCCCACCTCACGCAGCAGCGATGAGCTGGATGCTTGGACAGACTTCCGTTCACGTACCAACTCCAACGCCAGCACAGTGAGCGGCCGCCTGTCCCCTATCATGGCAAGCACAGAGCTGGATGACGTCCAAGACGACGACGCACCACTGTCCCCCATGCTCTACAGCAGCTCGGCCAGCCTGTCACCCTCCGTAAACAAGCCATGCACCGTGGAGCTGCCGCGGCTCACCGACATGGCAGGCACCATGAATCTGAACGACGGGCTGGCCGACAACCTCATGGACGACCTGCTGGACAACATCACGCTCCAGTCATCCCAGCCCTCGCCCACCGGAGGGCTCATGCAGCGCAGCTCCAGCTTCCCATACACCGCGAAAGGGTCTGGCCTGGGCTCTCCAACCAGCTCCTTTAACAGCACAGTGTTTGGACCCTCGTCTCTGAACTCCTTGCGCCAGTCCCCCATGCAGACCATCCAAGAGAACAAGCCAGCCACCTTCTCTTCCATGTCACACTATGGCAACCAGACACTCCAAGACCTGCTCGCTTCTGACTCGCTCAGTCACAGCGACGTCATGATGACCCAGTCAGACCCCTTGATGTCCCAGGCCAGCACCGCGGTATCTGCCCAGAACTCTCGGCGGAATGTGATGCTTCGCAGTGACCCGATGATGTCCTTCGCTGCCCAGCCTAACCAGGGGAGTTTGGTCAATCAGAACTTGCTCCACCACCAGCACCAGACCCAGGGCGCTCTAGGTGGCAGCCGTGCCTTGTCGAATTCTGTCAGCAGCATGGGCTTGAGTGACTCCAGCAGCCTTGGGTCTGCCAAACACCAGCAACAGTCTCCCGTCAACCAGTCTATGCAAACCCTCTCGGACTCTCTCTCAGGCTCTTCCTTGTACTCAGCTAGTGCAAACCTGCCCGTCATGGGCCACGAGAAGTTCCCCAGCGACTTGGACCTGGACATGTTCAATGGGAGCTTGGAATGTGACATGGACTCCATTATCCGAAGTGAACTCATGGATGCAGATGGGTTGGATTTTAACTTTGATTCCCTCATCTCCACACAGAATGTTGTTGGTTTGAACGTGGGGAACTTCACAGGTGCTAAGCAGGCCTCATCTCAGAGCTGGGTGCCAGGCTGAAGGATCACTGAGGAAAGGGGAAGTGGGCAAAGCAGGTCAGTGCCCAGCACGGTGGCATAACAAGGTGGGGTCACGGGCAGCCTGTCCTCTGCGTGCTTTGATTTCGTGTGGAGAGCGGTGGGGCAGCAGGGCACAGTACTGCGGCTCCCGGCCGGTCCGGCTCCTTTACCTGCAGCGGGATAGGGTGCCAGGCCCCCTCCACAGCCTGCTGACAGCTGGGGATTTTACTGCCAGGAGAAGAACCCACGTATGCGCGCGCACACACGGTCTCATTCTTTTGTGTCTGTCGTCCTCACTGAGCTGCTGTAGAGCGCCCTCCATAGTGGGTAGGCAAGAGGAAAGGGCGCAGCACAGGCCACTCGTCAAGGTTAGCATGCGAGCAGAGCAGTTTCCGAGTAGGACTTGGTCCAGCACCACCTTTGTCAGTCTGGGGTTGTGGCTGCATCTTTTTTCCAGTAAAATAGCAATTTGTAGTGACTTTGGTTAATTGCAGAATGTGTATTTCTGGACCGTTTCCTATGTATGAATGCTTTCAGTAGAAGCAAGATCTGGGTCTCCATCTTTACTACTTATCATAATACTGAGCTTCTTTGGTAGTTAGCTCCCAAGTTGTAAACATTTAAGAAATCAAAGGAATTAAAGACACAAGGGTTTTTTTTGTTTGTTTGGTACCTGAGTTGAAACTCACGACCTGGTGCTTGCCAGGCTGGTGCTTGTGCTGCAGAGCTAAATCCCCGGCCCCCAAAACACAAGTTTTTACATGAGAGAACACTTATACATGTTCTAAGAATGAAACAATGTCAGAGTCGCATGAGTTGTGAATGGTGACAGGATTTTTAAGGTGGTGGCATTTGAATAGTGTTGTAAACAGAAAAATGTATGTTAAGAAAGGCATTTGATTGGAGTCAGGAGTTGAGGGCTCAGTCCCCGCCTGTTGCTTTCTGGCTACCTTCGTGAGTGTGTTCCTGAACCTCAGTTTACCATTCGTGCTGCACTTGTAACAGCGTCATTGCAGGAGCTAAGTGTACGGTAATGTGTGACAGTGCTTTACAGGCTGCAGGTTGACATATATATTGTGCAGGTCCATAAACAACATTGACCTATGATCAAACTACTTAAGAGAGCTTAAGTAGTTTTCCAAGGTCACATGACGGGAGCCCAAATCTGTGTTACTTAAATGGCTTGAACCATAGTAGGTGCTTCCTAATTTTTCTAGGTCATGAAAAGGAAGATGTGCATGTACAGAGCCAGAGTAGCAGTAATAGACAAGCTAGCCCTGGAGCTGGTTTTCTTGAGAAGGGGAGCACTGGGGGTTTCCGCCACAGGTTTGTACCCCATACCCCCCCAATATGAAAGGGCTGTGTTCTGAGCCCCAACTCCCTGAGTTTTTTTCCCTCTTCTTTTAAAGTCAGCTCTCCAAGCTGCTTATCCTTTTCTTTAAATTGTGTGGAACAGAAAAGAAATTCAAAGCTATAAAAACCCAGCCTTGTTTAACCCTGCCATAATGAAGGAATTACAGAGTCCCCTATGGTGAGCTCGCTGGAGCCTGTGGGCAGCTGTTCCCAGGGGAATGTCCGGAGCCCTTGAGGCCAGCGCCTCGGCCTGCCAGGGTAAGCAGGCCCTTAATGGAACCCGGACATCTGTTCTGGTCACTTAATAGCCCTTGAGCTGGCCAAAGGATGTAATGGAAGCTAAAGAGGATGACGGCACTTCCATGCCAGCCACTTGGTACCGAACCAGAACTTGGGCTGGTAGAGATTGGACTTTGGAAATTTAGGTATTTGACTTTTGGAAAAATGAATGATATGTCTCCTTTTAATAGGAATGCAGTCGTGGGTTCTAAAGACTCAAGTTTTAATTTGGCTGTTGGTAGAAAGAAGCCGCTTCCTAGCTCACTAAGGAATGAGTTCAGAAGACCATCAGTTTCTGGGACTGTTGGATTGTGAATTCCCTCATAATTGAACAGTAGACGCTTCTTATGTGTCTGTATTTATGGAGCATTATACACAAACCCTTTAAGAAAGATTTAAATACATAGGTTTACAAGTTTTATTTGATGACTGTGGTTTTTGATAGAGAAATTGACACTTGGGATAATACATTTCATTACTATCTCTAATAGAACTTGGATCATTCAGTCATGTTTTCCTCAGAATATTTTGACAGGGTGTTACCTTTGGTTAAAAATGAAAAATTACCGAATTTTCTAGAAAGTAAACTAGCTCAGTGTGACCACAGAGCAAGAAAAGCAGCACCCTAAGGACAGCAGGAAGGAATCAGCTTTGGGGTGTAGGATTTCCGTTTTGCTTTGGAGGGAATTGCTGCCTGTGGCAACCTGGAGCACTTGGGCCCCAAAGCATTTTGCACACACCAGCTTACCACCGTTGAGCTGTATCCCCGGGCTCGTTTTTACTTGTAAACTTAACTTGTGACTTTCATTTTACTGAAGATGATCTTAGTTGGAAAACAGGCCTGAGGATAGAGTTTCAACACAATCTCTCCAGGATCAGGCACCCCTGTTCCCACGAGGTATTCCATAGCAACTTACTTTTTATCATTTTTTTTATTATTGCCTCTTTTGTATCAGTATGTATCAGGCTGGCTTCCTTGTTTGATCTCAGACAGTCACACGCCCCTAGTGGGAACCTTCTTAGGCATTCATAGAGCAGCTCTGGCCGGTTGACATCTCCTTGGGGAAGCGGAGTGAGATGCTTCTCTGGAGGGCCAGGAGTTCCACACATGTTATTTACTTTAGACCGTGTGTAAAATCCTTTAATGTATGAGTGTGTCTCTAAAAGAAGACCATAGCCACACCTTTCTGTGAGTGCTGGTGACCGGGGTGTGCAGGGTGCTGTCATCCTGAGTGCTCAGAAGCTTGGGATGCACGTCCTTACTGGTGGCAGAGAGGTGGCCCTGGCCAGGGAAGTGACCACAAGCCCGAGCTCCAGAGTTTTGACGTTTGCCTCCCCACAGGGGAAAAGTAACTTCAGTTTTACTGTAGTTTTGATATCAAAAGATACCTAAACGCACAGGCTTTTTCATTGGTCTTCATTGTGGCATTTGAGAACCCTAATAGAAGGCAGCCTAAAATTTAGTTTTTTGGTGTTTAATACTTCAGTCCCATCATGAACAGGTTGTACTACATTATGATCAGAATTAGGAAGTATCCATCAGGAGATGCCAGGTGAAAAAGGGAGGAATACTTCCCTTCCTGTTTCTGCCACTGGACACATCATTGATAAACCTCTCAGAATATTAGTTCCCTCATCTGTCAAAAGAGGATAGGATCAGTTTAAATGTGCAGAGTACATGCAGTTTTAAGGCCAGCGTTCGCTCTGTGAAATGGCCCTGGTGAGGGCAGTGTGATGCTACAGAACTGTACAGTAATGGCATGCAAGTGTGGATGTCACTTAGAATTTCTGTGAACTACTTCCCAAAAGGGGTAACTGTGCTGCCTGTTTGGTATTTGAATAAATGACTAGTGTGTCTTTAAAACCTTGTTAGGAAATAGGATTAACTTTAACCAAGTGTAGGTAATACTGACTATCATGTTTTTCTTGAAGTAGACAATTCTGTTTTGGGGAGCGCAGTGCAGTTGTGTACCTCATTGGGAAGATACTGTTCCTTGAACTGCGACCGTAGCCTTTGTTTGCAGGATGCTGGCCTGAAGAAGTCTGTCTGCTCAGACTTTTTAAGAACCTGAAGTCTAACTTGCCGTTCCTGGAGAGGATGACTATTTGTATCTTTAAATGTTGATGACAGTAAAGGGAATTGGCCCAGCCATGGGAAGGGTTTTCCTTGCAGAGGCTAGTTCAGTCTCTGCAGTGACATCAGCACCGCCTCTGCCCCTCCTGGGCTTGTTGGTTTTGTCTTTCACCTGTGCTCACCTCTGGCCAGCCTGGTAAGCGTGGGGTCAGAGCCGCTGTGGCTCCCACCTGAAGCAAGTTTGTTTGTAAGTGGCACTGGGGGAGATTTCCTTTGGCCACAGATTACATGAAACAAAAATGGGGCTTAAAAATGACCAAAATTAGTACTTACAATTCCTGTGCACTTCAAGTTCTCGCTAAGTGCTTGTTTTTAGTGCATTCATGGTGCCGAGCAGTCAGCCTCTTGGCACGTTTTCTGTTGGAGGCTTCCCTGGGGTGGCCTGTGCTTCTCGCAGCCAAACCCTTCTGCATGAAGATTCGGGGAAAGAGCTCACCAGAAGCCCTTTCCTTCTGTGCCACGACCTGAGAGCTACCTGCCAGTAGGCCTCCAAGGCCTGGGACAGGCAGAGGGTGTTGGCAGCTCCTCACTGTGCCCCAACTTGGAGACGCACCTTGAGTTTCATTCCTAGGCGGAAATTCTGTACCTTGCGAGAGACACCCCCCACTGCTGCTTGGTTTTGCTGATGTGTACATTTGATTTCAAAGTGTTATTTACCCTGTCCTCCAAGTTGCCTTCAAATTTAAAGTTTTAGAAACTAAAGTGAATTAAAAGTTCGTTTTGTGAATTAGTGATGCTTCCGATGTTTCGTGGTTCCGTAAGTCAGTAGTTCTAAGTATTTCACAAAATATTTATCCTCAAGCTCTTCATGAATGTGAAGTAAAATGTGGATCCTGTGATCAAATAAGTTTGGGACTGTTAAAGAGAAGTTGAGCTATATGTATTCCCAACAGGGCTTTTGCTGCCTTAAAAATTAATAGACTTCGTGAGCTTTTTAGGGGCAGTATATGCCATGGAGTGTTTCCTGAATTTGATATCTTGAGTAATTTTTTTCCTCAAGAAAAAGTGGCCAAGGCGTTTCCTTCAGAAAGGCTGCCCTGATGCTGAGGGGAGTCTGCAGCCGGAGCACCGGCTGGCTTCTCCTTTTCCTCCTGCTTCGCCTTGGTCGTGTAGGAAGTGTGCTCCGCTGTGTGTGGAGTGTTCTGCCGTGGGGGCCGTGAGCAGACTGTCCTGGTGAAAATGCTCCAGAAAGGCCGACTCCGTTAACTGGAATCTGAGTTCCTGAGTGCAGAGGACGAGGGCGAATCCAACAGTATCTTCCCTCCAACGG